CATATATATTAGGGTGTCACAAAATCCACTTTGTCTGGAAATCTCCAAATGATAGCTAAGGGGGTTGCAAACAAACTTTTGTATGGCGGCAACTCTGGGAAATATTATTTAGAGGTCGCCCCGACGAGATTTTAGAAAAAAGTCCATTTTTCATAGCTATTATCCACTAAATATTTTTAAATCTTTAAATTTCAGTGAAATCGCACCCTTTTATATTTTTCTCAGATACCTAAGGGTCAAAACTATAAGAATTTTTTTTCTACGGCCTGTTCTGTGTCCAATTTGTTAGTTACAATTTTTCAAATTCTCTAAAATGATGTTTTTTGTTGTACATCACTGCATCCAATCATCAAAAGTGGGTATCAAACATAGCGCTATTATCAATCAACAAAGATATGGGAAATTTTATAAGCAAAAACTTTGCCAAAGACACTTTAACCTCATTTTCAACCGTTAAAAAGTTATTCGTGATTTACTGTGGAAAGAAAAGTTCAGAATTTCAATACTTGCAGTATGTCCACCAGCAAATCAACTATCAAATCACTTGATAACATTTGTTTGGAAGTTTCTAGAATTCAATAGGAGGATATATGAGCGGAGAGGGATCACACAATTTATTAGTTTTCATTTGATTGCCGTAGCAAGCAGAACCAAAAAAGAAAATCATGTCACCAAAAACCAAGCTCGGATCTCATCACCGGTATTGCGAGGAAGCATTTGCCCAGACACCGTTTGCCGTCGGAGTTGGCCGTCATCAGGTACTTTCGATTCAAGCATGAAACCCAACAACTTTCAATCGGACAAAGCATTCAAGTTGTGGCTACCGAAGCAGTGGAGATTTGGAATCAAGCCGGACTTTCGCACCAGCTCAAGCGGAACGTTGTTAGGAGGGTTGCCAAGCTCGTTATGACATGGCAACGCCAAAGTAAGGCCTTTATTATTTATATTGTTATTATATGTCTAGCCGGCGCTGGTGATGTAGTGGTAAGCGTGACTGCTTTCTAACACCCCAATGGGTCTGGGTTCAATCCCAGCCGAGGTCGGTGGGATTTTTCTGAGGCATAAAAATCTCTGGTCACGTCTTCCTTCGGAAGGGAAGTAAAGCCGTTGGCCTCGGCCCATGTATGTTGTGAATGGGTGCGATATCCTACGCAGGTGTGGAAGCTGCCTTTCTGCACATTCGATTGTCGTCAATGGATGACAATCGATGTCCGTCGGTGATTGGCACTAGATTGTGGAACAGAGACTGACGTTAAATAAAGGAAAGAAAAATTATATGTCTAAAAATTACTTTAACATTTCGGGATTCAAACCGGCAGTCACTGATTCACAGTCTTCAACTATACCCACTTGACCACATAAGCATATTTGTGGCAAAAGTTATGATCATTAACATTGTTTTTAATTCTGCATTGCTGTATATTACTCTTCCGGTTGCTTTTATTCAACTTAATTTTGACGTGCTTCAAGAAGAGTACTATACAGCAATGCAAAATTGTAAACAATAAGTTGTGACAGTAAAACATTCCTCTCATTTCAAGTGCAGTACATAATGTGGACACAATTGCGCGATGTATTTCGATGCTATTTTAGTGCTATAATTGAATTATATTTTTGAAATGCGGAATGAAAATTAAGTGCAATATAAAGTGGTGAACGGACAAAACACAGGAATACAAATATTAAAACTTCCGACGTCGTCGCAGTCCACTTTTAGGTGGAGCTATTCTTAAAAAGCTCCTCTTCCTTGTCTCTTCTGCTGGTGCTGCTTGGGATTAGAAAGGTAGGCAGTGAATTTAGAATAACTAAAATGTCGGAAATGCAACAAGTAACACTGACGACATTTAACAATAGCGTGCAATAAATTCATATTATTCTATCAGGTTATCAAAATATTTGTAGCGCATTGCTGGTTTCTGGAGTAGAATTAAGGTTAAATAAGTCTTGTTCTGTCTTTAGATCAGTTAACTTACTGAGGTTGAATTATGGGAATACAATTCGCTTCATGCACTACTAATCAACTGTATATTCAGCCTGGTGTTAATCAGCTTTGTACACCTTAAATCAACCAATAATCAACTTCTGTTCTTACAATTCAGCTTGCATTGTTACTTGGGAATAGTTAGACCAAAAATAACCTATGCTTCACTGATGTGGTGGCCCAAAATAAATGAAGTAACCGCTCAAATGAAGTTAGGAAAACTGCAAAGACTTGCTTGTATTTTAATGACAGGGGCAATGAAAAGTACACCATCTGTTATCTTGGATGTATTTCTCAATATACTGCCCTTGCATCAATTTGTTAAATTACAGGCAGCAAAAAGTGCCCTACAGTTCAAACGTCAAAATAAAATTTTAGATGGCAATCTGGTAGGGCATTTGAGTACCCTTAAGTATTTCAACTTAAATTCAGCTGTTAATACAGTGGATGATTGGATGGTAACAAATACAAACTATTATGTTCCCTTCAAATTGGTTAAATCAAACCACTATATATGAAAATCTGGGGGACCAAATATACGTCCAGGATCTATTGTATTTTACACCCACGGGTCGAGTGAAAATACTGGAGCTGGGGTCTATGGCCCTGGAGTCCGTAAAGTTGAACCAGTGGGACATAGTCCCACAGTATTTCAAGCAGAAATTCAAGCAATTAATCAGCTATCATTGCCTTACAGAATACAGATTTACTAAGATCTGTATTTTCTCGGACAGCCAAGCAGCTCTTAATGTGTTAGAGGCGTTTACATGTCGATCAAAGCTAGTGTGGGAATGCATTCTTTCTTTAAAACAAAAGGAACGAAGTTACATAATACTGGGTGCCCTGTCATTTTGGCATTGAAGGAAATGAAAATGTCGACAGTCTAGCAACACAAGCTTCTGCATCGAGTTTCATCGGTTTGGAACCATTTTGTGGAGTCCCTGAGTGCGCTCTGAGGATGAAACTAAGAACTTGGGAAACGTCTCTGGTAGAATCTAATTGGAATGCCACGGATACATCCAGACAAGCCAAAATTTTTATAACACCCAGCTCGGATCTTACTTAATCTTAGGAAAACAGATCTTCGGGTAATAACTGGTCTAATGACTCGTCACTGTCCTAACAGATATCACTTCAATAAAATTGGAAAAAATTCAGTGTAGCGACTGTAGTTTTTGTCATTATGAAAACGAAACTGCTGAACATATACTTTGAAATTGCGGAGCACTGTTCAATCAAAGAATGACAATATTTGGAAAAGGGCTATTAGAAACATTGGAAATTTGGCAAAGCAATCCCAACAGGGTATTAGATGTTATAAAACGACTTGAGCCTACACACTTAGAAATAACTAATTTTATACGTGACGGAATCCATCTTTGACATAAAAGGTGAGACGTAAACAAACATGTTATGTAATATTAAGTGCTCCGAGACTGAAAAGTTCCTTGCTCGACGAAAAGTACGTTTGATTAAGCTATATTTCGCGTCTGTTATGACTCAAATTTATGTCAATATTGACGCTCGTATATGTCACCCTCAGAGCACCTAAATTTACATGATTTTTTCTAAGTGTGTAGATGAGATTTCATGCTCTGTCATTCAATGTATATCACACTTTAATTGTGACAAGATATGCGACTAGCACCACATTGAATATGGGTCAAACAACAATATTCTTTTGAAATGGACGCAGTTGTAAAATGGCTCTACAGACGAGAAAAAATACCTGTGTAGATCACCTTTTCATGGTATGCTACGAGATGTAAGATCTACAACCGATTCCTAATCCTGGCTACTTCAAACTAGGGGAACATGATTTTTAAGTAATCAAAGGAACACATCTTAGTCCTTGCTACTTTTTATGCCTTGTTAATAGTGATAAGTTATCGGGTTTCCTGGACCGAGGATGATCCTTAAATAAGGAAAAACTAGCTAGTTAGTCTTCATCTATGTGATTCCTAATTCTATTCGTTGTTGCCCAGTTTGAAGTGGTTAAGACTAGGGTTCTGATGCATGGTCATTATCGATGTCATTGCGTAATTGCGTTGCTATAGAATCCAATTTTGACTGACAAAGGGACGTGTCTATGAAGGGTGCTCTCACTCTTCGAAGGCTATAAATAGCGGGATCTTCAAATTAGAATTGATTCCTTGCGAAGAAACCGAATACTTCATCATTTCTCAATAGTGATGGAGTAATACGACATGCACTAAGCTAACGACACGAGATATACTACTGTACGCGACGGAGCCCAGTGAGTTCAGTACCACCCGTATAGGTACTCGAACGACATAAACTCGAGAGAATGTCAGAGGCAGAAAAAACTCCCACCATATCTATACGCTATCTGGCTCACCCAAAACAATACATAGTGACAGAACAAACACGTTAAAAGTTGAATTGGTTATGCTAAGTTTAGATTTTTTTAATTATATAAAATACATTAAAATCGTAAGTAAAATGAATTAAAATGAAATCTATTGTAAATTAAAACCTACATTCTACAGCACAACACAAAACACTGAAGAATCTTTGTTACAACCGACGGAAAACAGACAAAGGAAACTAAAACTGTAAGCTAACCTAAAAACTAATAATTACTTATTACTAAATAAAAACTTTTGTAGCTTGAAGCTTACTCCGATAAAAACGAGTTTGTCTGGAAGAGACTTCCGAACGTCCGTCCCGTAACAACTACAATAGATCAAATTACTGGCTGCAGTGGTTTCATGTCCCAAACAGAGGTTGAGGGGATAAGTTTTCCTGAATTTCACATGCTGTACTTATCTTTATTTTTATGTTGATATTCATATTTGTGCTGAATCAACCGGAGTATTAACTATTTTTGTTGAGAAGATGTAAATAATTCACGCAATGGCTATGGAAGTGCATGAATGCATTTCTATCATTTCCATTCGATGGACATAATTACCAACGCCAACCATAGAACACCGAACCCACAGTTAAATTACAGTATTGCTCGTTGGGAAGCTTCGCCCACTCTAAAAATACTTACGGAATAAATCCAACACGTAGTTACTCTCCTTCGGTTCCACCAGTGCCGTATTGGTTGCCTGGCAGGTGAATATCGAGTTCAAATCGGACCGTTGGATCGCCGGCCACAGCAACCGATTCTCGATTACATCCCCGGAATTGTGTTCGTACTGTTCGTCCACCAGCGTACCGTTAATGAGCCACTTGACCGAGGGCTGCGGGCGACCTGCAATAGAATGAGAAAAATAATGACTAATGAGAAATATGTTAAAAGCCAATCTGGCCTAGGTGCGGCAGTAGCAGTGGGTACAGCAGGTTCTATTTGTTTTAATTATAGATGTATTCATGGTGATAGTAGAATTCAATGTAATCATTTAAGTTTTTTACGGTTTCCTACAATTTGTTATGGACTTGAAGAATGCTTTAAAACCCCTGTTAAACTAACAATGTTACTTGTAATATGTAGGGGATCCAGGAGCCCTTACGATTGTGCGTTCTATGTATTCCTTATAAGTTTATGGCATGTTTTGATGTATCATCAATATAATTCAAATTAAATCACATCAACAGCTGTTTATGAGTTTTTCAAAACTTCATGTCAAATCGGGACAAGAGTACCCACTCTAAGGAGTAAATCGGCCATGCGTCTAAAATGGAGTAACCAATAATTATAAACAGTAACTTGTTATGCAAGGTATCAATTACTGTTATTGTTTGTTCAATAGAACTATTGCATTAAACGATATTTTATAATAAAATGTAAGTTCACTATGTGCGCCAATGAAATTAAATGCAAATTATTGATTATGATATTTTATTCAGATTACTTTGCCATTTTTGATGAAACAATGTATATAACTATCTTGAATACGTAGTTAAGCAATTTCCAAAACATTATTGGATATTAATACACACATTTAGGTTTATTTGAAAAATGATGATTTTTGACCAATTAAAAATGAATTTTCCAATGATTTCTTCTGATAGCATCAATTCATCATTAAAAGTTGTCCTGTATTGAGGAATTGTAATTCAGAAATCTTTATTTTGTGATGTCTAGAGCGTTGTGAATTTGCTACCATTTCATTCGTACACGATATCTTATCACATCGCATTGATTCAGTAGAACTATTGTCATTCTCAAATGTTTAGACACCATCTAGGCATTTACGAAATAGAAATGTGTTTGCTATAAACCCTGGACCCTGGACCAAATGATGGATGCATACAATAAAAACAGCGATAACAGTGACTTTACAATGACAAAAACCAAATCAAAGCAATCATTTAATTCCTTAAGCTCTTTTTTTACGTAAGACTATGTCCTTCTTTACTGTACTGGAAGATAAAGAAGTCGAAATGAGACATGTAACGAAAAATGGGGTGTTTTCAAATGCATATTTCTCCAAAACATTAATTTGAAATATATCATTCAATGTGCCATTCGACTGGAAGTTTATCCAGCAATTTTTTGGTATATAAAATAAATTGTGAAAATTGTTAAACAACTAAGAAATTTAACGAAAACTGGAAGCTTCAAATTTTCACATACATTTGCTTAGACCACAGGGTGTCTCTCATATCAGATACATCACATAGTTACATAGTTACCAAACGAAACAAGCCGGAGCCGATTTTCCATACGAACTTTGGACTTGTTTGTATCGTTCATCTCACAGCAGCTCAACACAGACGATATGTGGACCGGATGCTATCAAGACTGCCTGCAATAGTGCTTCAGCCAGAGAAGTAGTGAAGAAGCAACCCTGCCACTGTTCCGGTACAGTTGCTCTTCGTGCGATACGCCGCTGTGGGCCATATTTACCAAGCGCGTCATCATCAAGCCCCAATAACATCAAATTCGCTCACAATACCCGTGGAGAAAGCGCCTACACATCTCAGAATTCTCCAAAGAACAACCCGGTACCGTGCACCAAACCCGCCGCTACCAGAAGAATACGAACCTGTGTGTTATGCGCTGTTTACATCTGTGCTGGTGTGCTAGCGCTAGTGTACAAAAACTGTACAGGTTGATTCACATATATGTAATTCCCAATGGGTAAAAAGGCGAAAAGTTCAAGTATCTTTATTTTAAAGTGTGTACAAATACCAGTTTGTATGGATAGTAGGATTTCATTCGTTTCCGATTCCAAGCAGCCATGGACATAAAAATGCAGATGTCATAAATATGTATAAATTCGTGAACTGTAATCTCTTCGAAAGAGTGAAACATTTTTTGTTCACATCATTATAGAGGTAAAAAGAACAATGCGTGGAAAATCCGTTCAATATCATAACTTAGACGCATCGCCAGGACTCTAAAAGCGCTGGAACTAGAACGTGCGTGCCAGCTGTGGTTCATTTTCGTGACAAATGTGACTGGTAATTAATGGCAAAGGGAGAGAGATTCGAATCAAAGTATGCTAAGTTGAAGGTTATAGGGTAGAGAACTACTTCGGCCTAAGCGCCCATTTCGGGCCTATCAAGCAGAAAACATCAAATAAATCAATGATTTCGGCGTCACCAGGTAAATTATGCGTTTGGTACGATACTATAAATCAAATGCTACCGAACGAAGTCAACAAAAACGCGTGATATGAATGTTTGCACCCAATATCCTCGAATACAAATGACGCGCTCCGACCGAGTCAATCTTTATCTTCATCCGATAGGCCGAAGTGAATTCATTGGCGTTTCTAGAAGCAGTGTTAGACTTTTAACAATATCTCAACAATTTGTTTCTCTTTATCACATCGTACGGCAGGTAATTAAATTTGGAAGCCATCAGTAATAATAACATTCCGTTTGGTGCTAAACTACGCTTGATTAAGAAAGACTAATTCCGGGTTGTGCTTAATAGGCCGGAAACGGGGTAGTTAACCCTGTATATGTAGTATATCTGGAATTTACTGATATCAAAAAATCATGCATTTGACCATTTTTAAAAGTGACAGTTATTCCGAATCACCCTGTACTAAAAAGTAGTCAGCATAATGTAAACATGGCGTCAGCATCTACCAGTATGACATTTCAGGAACAACTGAAATTCGTGCATGTTGGTATAGCTGGTTGAGCTAGTTAACTAGCATATGTTTAAACACTCCATAAACCAAACGCCCCTTGTCAAGCACATGACTGCAACTGCAAACAACTTGAGTGAAGCCACTTTTTTTTTCTGGCGCTCTGGTGCTAATTTGACAGCTCCTATATTTCCTCTAGGATTAGGCGTTGTACATGTCACACCGCGTTGCAAAAAATAGAGAAAGTCTTCTAAATAACGTTCATATGATTAAATCATATGTTCTCTACCAGAAACTTAACCAGATTGTGGCGACCATGAGCGCTCGTAAAATTCTGGATTTTCCCACTGCCGTACTCTAACGGAACTATCAACTCTATATTTCCATCTTCTCATCTATCGTATAAAACTACCACTTTAAGTCAGTTATTTGAAACTTAGCACCTTCAACTATGAAATTTTCAAGTTTGGCTTGTGTCGTTTGACCTGTAAACGGATTAATTTGATCGTTTATACGTCAAACGGCATTACCCAAACATCCAATCGAATATTTCCTACCAGAAAACCCAGCTAGATTGTGGCGGCCATCAGCGCTCGTAAAATTCTGAATAGAGAGTAGAAAGTGAGCAAGGACAACTTTGAGCAAGGTACAAATCGGGTTGATCTGAGGGGTATCCCCCCGCCACCACCGGCAAAAAGAGATGATCACCGATTTGCTCATGTACCGACGATGTGTTTGAAACAGTTCTATCGATTGTACCGCACTCAAGTCGTTATGTGAAGGGAGGCATCTAGTCGTAGGTTTGGAAATTGCAGCCATTGTTACCTCCACCACTGTATGCGCTTCTGTCATCGCCGCCAAACAAACATGTCATGTAAAATTCAGTGCTCCGAAACTGAAAAGTTCGGTACTCGACGAAAAGTACGTTTGATTGAGCTGAGTTTCGCGTCTATTACGACTCAATTTTATGTCAAAATTGACGCTCGTATATGTCAGTCTCAGAGCACCTAAATTCACATCAATTTTTCTAAGTGTGCATGTTTCGAGTGGAGAGATGACCTCTTCGTACAGCAAAGCACACCCCGTCCATAGCCTGACTGGTATAGTATCTATATAACGGGTGTTCAATAAAAAATGAGATTTTTTTCAGTCATAAGCTAAAAAAAAAATTTTTTTTTCAACGAATTCAGTATTTTTTAATAAAAACATAATGTTAATTCTTTAAAAAATTGGCAATGAATATTGGAGAAGGGGCCCTGGTCAGCCGTAAGACGCAACTTAGTTGCGATGCTCTCACAAGAGCGCTGGACGGCACTGAAATCATTCTCATTTTTTTTATTGAACACCCGTTATAGATTCCGTAATGCAATCGTGGAAAACTTTACAAAAAATTTATGCAATTACTGCAAAATAAAAAAAAAAAATAAAACTGTTTATGGAAAATACTCCTTGTTCGTTGAAAGTACTATCTTTAAATTTTCCGTATCCTTGAAGTGCTCATACAAACATTTGAAGTATTTTCCATTTGGTTTGGGTGTACCAATCCATGTGCCGTCTACAGTAAGGTCACCAGAAGCACCATCGTGTGTGAAGTGTGACCCGGAATTAAGCTGCACGCATGAATCAACAGTGTTTAGAGGTTCGAGAATGTTAATTCGCCTGAAAGGATACGACCCGATTGTGACTAACCATACCGATCGATAAGGATTGGCTGCGCTGCCACCGGCGTGTGCATGGGTTACCACACCCAACAGGGGGATGTAAGATTTGCTTACAATTGTGTGGGATTCATCATCGCGGGATGTTACTGGAGACCGCATGCATGAAGAATGAGATTTACCGAGAAATTGGAGGCCAACAAATGTGAAGTGGATAAGTGAGATAAATTAATTATGACGAAAACAAAAAAATGTTAGCCAGTTGGACTCGAATCACGCACGTTGCGATTATCAGACCTCTGCATTCTCCACTGCTCTGCTCGTGCTTCAGAACATAGGTAGGTTAAAAGGGAAGAAGAGTACGACAGTACGATACTATGATAATTTGGTTTCACATGCTTTTTCTGCTGAACGAGAATTGGAGAGAATCGAAGCAAGTGAATTTAATTACTTTTAGCGGTATTGAAAGTAATAACCAAATAACTAACGATAACAGATAATTAAGGATAATTAATGTCATGAAACATGATTTAAATGTATGAAAAATA